AGTAATGAACAATGATACTTAGGACAAGAACAACACATAAGATTCACCAGTGGTGTGTAGAAGTGAATCAAGTGAATTCCACAATGAATCTCCAACTCAAGACCATGTAAAGTATTCATTACTGTATTTATGGAAATGTGGGCAAACTCATTATCAATCTGTAGGTATGCTACAACAGATACATATTATTCTGCTTTCGCAATTGCATACATGGTAGATAATACACAGCTTTTGTGCATATACATGTTTGTGTGGACATAATTACTAGAGGCTGTGATGTATGTTTTATATTGTAGTTTTGTTGAAGTTATATTTTGAAATCCAGATTGATTACAGAAATTGTAGGATATTGTATAGATTAATGTCATGAAAGAGTTCTTTCATGTTGTTTGGTTGATTTTGTTTCTCAGCATATCAACCTCTGTGGGTTATTTAATGCTGAAATCTAAATATTTTGAACACAATTGTATGCCTTCAACTACATGTAAAATGTATTGTTGATAATTTTTATATATAAAAATGTATTGCTAGTATTTTTACAGCAAAAATGTACTTTTATAGTGTTTTGCTTTTGTTTCGGGGTTCACTATTTGCCCATAGCTGGGACTCTAACAGGTGCTACCATTCTGGATCAGGGTGGACCTGGGAATAACAGCAATTAAGAGGTGGTTCCATGCTCCTCAAAATCATCTGATCAGAGGCCTTGCTGCTGGATGTAGTTTATCATCATACCCAGGACTATCATTTTTATGAAGAAAAATTATCAAGTAGTGCAGTTTTTATTTCTTGCTTCATATTGACTCCACTTAAAAATCATACAAGTATAAAATAGTATAGTCATGATTAAGATTTTTGCATATTTGACTAAAAAAAAAACAAATTAAAATTTTACTGAAGAAGTAAGAAATGAGGTATTTAAAAAATATTTAAAAAGTATTAAAAAAAAATGGCAAGAAATGTTAATCTGAGAACATTCATGAAAACTATAATTGCACCATGACAAATTAATCTCTAAGACTTCCTTAACTTTCAGCACTCTGCAATACTCATAAGTATTTCAATCATTGAGTATAAGTGACCAGACAACTGCAGTAGCATCATCTTCAATTTTCAGTTGCCATAGTAGGATATGACAACACTAGCACAAAATTCAACAAATGAAGCCACCTATATACACAGTGCTAAAGGTTAAAGTAAAATAACTTATAAGCATCAGGAAAATATCCCTTTTTTATATTTATTTTTTTTTAATAGGACTTCTGTCCCATAGTAGTTGGTACATTTAGTATGTAAATTGTATATGCAAATGTAACAGCATTTATGGGACACAGTCTCTGATTTTCAACAAAGCTCAAGTCATCTTTGTAAATAGCCTTAGATTAAGATGGATGTCATGTGTGGTGCCAAACCCATTCAGAAATATTTAACCAATCTACTGTATACAAGGATTTTCTCGGATCAATTGTTAAAAATGGCTTTTAGCAAGTGAAGCCTGTATGTCCTGATGAATACCACACTTCTTCGAACATTGTGGATTGGTACTACAGAATCACAAAGAACTGTACCAAATAACAGAAACCATATTACTTGTGAACTTTCAACAGTAACAACAGCTAAAATGGATATCACATGTAACTCGAAAAGAAAATAATGGCATAATCAAGATATTAACATTCCATGCTTCTTCAAATAAATGGTTAAGATGGAAACCCCTATCAATACTGGAAAGAGTGATAACAGCTGCTAGACTTCAGAAATTTATTTTCCTGAAAAATAGTTTTAAAAAAAATTGCCAAATGTTTCCTTATAAGGTTACTCTTACCATTTGTACCTGATATCTTTCCTTAACTGGAACAAGCAAGATTGTTATGTGCAGCTGTTGTTTGGTCAATGGATCAGTTTGAGGGAAATAAGTTAAAACTTTTTTAGCATTCCCTTGTATATCTTTAGGAGTGGCCTCCACTTTATTTTGTAAATCCTTTTGTGTATGTTTTTATTCTCACAAATACTTTTTTAGATTAGTGACTGGCAAATTAAGTACATGGCATGTGACATATTAAAAAAAGAAAACAAAAAAATCTTAGACTAAATGCATATGTGTGTGTGTGTCAACTGACAAAATGACTACAACTTGCATTGCCATATTATCAGATTTAGATGACCCCCACCACCACTTTTTATCTGTGTCTTTAAAATCAAGATTATTTTTTTAATGTATCTCTTATTTTCTTTTTCTCTTACTTTTTTTTTCTCTCTTTCTCTCTCATATTTATCATTTCTCTGTCTCTTTCTTGATGAGGATTGTTTTCCTTTCTCTCTACAAGCTATTTTTCTTAATCTCTTCCACTCATCACTTAACCACTCCTTCTTTCTATTTTACCTGTGAGAATTTCCTTTCTCGATCTCTTCCTCTCCTTCAAACTATATTTTAATATCCCTCTTACTGAATCACCCTCTTTTTGTACTTGCTCATATTTCTCTCCTTCACTTTTCTCTCTCTCTCTCTATTAAGGTATAATAATTGCTTTGGCATCTCTTACACTCTTTTCTCATTATGTATTTATCAAATGTTCCAACTTGCCAACCAGTCTTTTTATAAACTATGACCATTCATTTCATGTGACATGTTTGCAGAAAGAGAAATCAATTTTTACAAACTCTATATGTTGGCATATAAGTAAACTCTTTAAGTGAAAAAAACATCTTTGATTGATCATATTAATTCATTTAGTTTTTATGAGCATTGACAACCTGGTGAAAACTGTATTGCCTCTCCTTATTTTTATTTTTTGCAGTGGTTGAGTGGAGTTCACTTTCTGACCATCACACTTTGGTTCGAATCTCATCAGGGTTGATTTGTCAGTCAGGAAACCCTGATGTTATCGGTCTGGAGTAGGGACGATCCCTGCATGTGACAACTTTGGAAAGTGCCTGAAAACCAAACCACAGGTTGACCCAAGCCTTGTGAGTGCTAATTGGGTAGATGGAACACCTGGGGCCATCGATAGCTGTGCTAGCATAAAGTCACAAGTCATCGTGATCGAGGGTTTGAGTGTGCTGGTGTTCAGATTGTTGATCATTCTAGATAACACGCTCTCTCCCAGAAACTGTAACTAAGGTCTACTCAGCATATGTGCAGTATAAACCACAGGTTGGCTCTGTTTGTTTTGAATGAACAGAAATGTGCCTGAGCAAGTCTGCAATAGGGATTGGTTAGCCACCCTAGTAGACAGGTATCCTCAAATATGAGGGGCCAACTAATATGCCCCCACTTGTAGGTTGAGCACTTTGGAACAAAGGGGATTTATCAGCTGTTGCTATTAATGCTAAAATCTCTTCACTATGAATTGAGCACTCTGGTAGCTGGTAATGCTTATATTTCATATATAAGGTGTTAAAAATTCTCTTTCTCTGTTGCGTGAGCTGATGGCCTAAGGGTAAGATTCTCTGACATATCAAATCGGTCAGGTTTCAATCCTGGCTTGAAGCAATCACATTGTCTAACTAGACTGATGAGCTGTGATACAGCGAAACAGACTTTTTGTGGATGACTGTATATATAAAATCAACTATAATTAATATTTCAAATTTCTATGACTTTATTTAACATTTATTATTTATGGAATATATCAACGATATCTGAGGGGATAATCAACTATGCCAGCAAATCTATATTTGGATTAACTCATCAAAATTTAAGGAGAGTATTTATAAGCTGACATATGCAATAATTTCATTTATATTGTCTGTGTGTGTGTATATGTACATGTATTATATACATGCACACGCACAGGGTGTGATAGATAAATTGTCATCTAGATTACACAAAAATGAAAATAACACTGACATCTCATTTTAACAGATATATTTACCAAAATTACACAAAAATATCTTTAAATACTAAAGAGTAAATTTATTCAATGAAATCACCATTGGCTTAAATCATGGCCTTCGGACGTCTTTTGGACTGTCTTCGTGTTTAATTTGGTGAATGCTGCCATAATCCTTGCCTTCAGTTCATCTTTGGTGTTACAAGGCGTTTTGTTTGTCTCTTGCTCGACTCGACTGCACCCCACATATAATCAAAGGGTTGCAGTCTAAGGAGTTAGGGGGCCAGATGTAAGGGGTGATGTAGTCGCAAAAATTGTCTGACATCCATGACTGGGTTCTCCTGTTTATGTGGCATGGTGCAGAGTCCTGTTGTCAGATAGTCTTCCAACAGCCACCCTCTTGACCCAGGGCAGCACTTGATGTAGGTCTCTGTGTTGAGTCTGAGGTCCTCACTAACAAATTCAGGAGTTCTTTTATCAAAATGATCAAAGAGAGTTTTCTTAGCTGCTGTGACTTCGTAATCACAATTAGACTCACCCAACTCCTTCCAAAGCTCTGCACTGTCCTCAGATTGATAACCAAACATCCTGAAATGTTCGTATTGGTGCTTCTGGCAAAAATGCCAAGCAGTACAGCATGCTGTTTCCAAATTTCTGGTGGAGTGAATGGCTTCATGTTGCTCTTTTTCTCACAAGTGGTGCCCAACTGACCCTACTATACTGTGCAGTCAACAAAATCAAAAACAAGCCAAGTGCTTGCACAAGAATTAAAAATATAAAATGGCGACAATCTACCCATCGCACAGCAATTCTTCTCTAATACATGTTTCATTAAAAATGATTGACAAAGTACTCCTATTAACTTTTTTTTTATTGTATTTTTCTTGACTGAACAAGAGAATTTTGTTGTTTTAGGACTTAGTGCAAGTAGAAATTATCTAATTGTTTCTTGGCTCTGTCCTAGTACATTTTACAACTTGTGCACATATTGGTCATAACATCATAAACAACCAAGATGTAACCAAGATAAATATTAATTAGATAATAAATATTAATAGATAATATACCAAAATACAATACATCACTCACTGCATAGAAAGACTCAAAACTCTTGAAGCCATTATTTTGTAAAAGAAAAAAATAAGACATGAAATATTTCACCACAAGGCTTATGGCCATATCACATTGAAACACCAGTTCTCATACGATCACTGAAGTTAAGCAACATTGTGGTCCAGTACCTTGGTAGTTGACCATTTGTGAATACCAGGTGGTATAAGCTTAGATGTACTGGTGATGTAATGGATAATGGCTTGGAAATGTTAATCAAAGAGCCAAGTTCCAATTCCTGTTGGGTTCATTATATTCACTTACATGTAAAATACCCTAGGGAAAGGCATGAATCCACCTCTTCTCCTCCCAGCTATGGTTTAATTAGTAAGACTTGTATCACTAAATCATTATCTCAAAAAAAAAAAAATTTCAGGCTTTAATTCAGGCTTTAACCCATAAACCATAGAAAACATTTCAATCAATATATTTAACCACAAGAGACTGTATCTTGAAGTCTGTATAAAATACTTATTGTTTATAAAAAGAATACATGTAACTTAGCTTGCTTTAAATTTTACACATGACATAAACTTGGATTATAATTTCAGCTCTAAATCATGGACCACATGGGTTTTCAGCTCAATATTCTAACCACTGAGCTTCAGATAAGAACTAAAATACATACCATACATACATGTATATAAATAGATATTTTAAAGTATAAAATAATCTCATAATAATGAGTCAATGTCTTTCTGTTTCAGCTTTCTAAATGACTGGCAAAATGGTGTTGTGTTTATTTTGGGAATGTGGGTTGACTTATTCTGGAAATGTAGTGTTAAGCATATGTAGTAGTATAGTCAGCATTCATTTATCCTCAAAATAGAAGTAGCACCCTGTTTGGTCAAAATTCAGTCATTTGGTGATGAGACTGGAGTGACCTCTCCTGGCCACAGGCTTGGGTGATGGTATATGGAGGTCATGTGCTGCCCATACTACATGGCCCCACTCTCGGCTGTAATGACAAAATCGAAAGGAATACAGGGCATTATTATCAGTGTTGACAGCCAATCATCTTCTGGGCACCACTCCAAGTTTTCTGTCTGGATTTACTGCCATAGCCTTTTCTGTGTTTGGTTGGATACAACCGTAAAGCAGTGAAAGTTTAAAATTAGGGTTCCCTTCCCCAGATGGACTGCCTTCCTTGGCTGTCAAGCTCCATCTACCGAAAGCAGCTGGTTATGAGGCAACATTTTTTCGCCTTTGCCCATTCTCCAGTTTTGAGCTCGACTTGGTTGTTAGAGACTCTTTGAGACACATGCCTGTTGTATAGGAGTAGTGTCGCTGCCAACATTGTAGTTGGAACATAGATCACCAGAGAGCAAACACCAGCGATCTCATTTTGAATAAGTAGATCATGTGATAGTAAAGGAAATATATATATGGGAATTAGCATGACATCTAATTGATCACCATTTCTATTCTATCCTCTATTACTATACTATTCACTATTCCCACACTATTTCTCTATACTGATCACTATACGGACTACTATTCAGTGTTTACTTTTTGAGCAAGTATTATAAGTAAGCATCTGACACCAGTATTGTTCACTGGCGTTACTATAGTTGTATCTGTGATTACAAAGTCTTTACTACAATGAGTATTATGAAGTGGCAACAAATGTTCATTGACATCACAAAAATGCCACGGAAGCATTTTGTAGACAGTGGGAGCTTGTCCCCACTATCACCCCTGACTATGACAAACTTTGGAACATATATAATGTACATTATATAAACATTCTATACATGATGTGTTTTAGAATATGCAAAACATTGTTTTGGAGTGTTAATCTTAAATGCCTCAAAATTGTAATATATAAGTATCTATTAAGATTAGCTTAGTCTGGCACAAGGCCACAAGTAACTGAATGAGATTTAAATTCCCCCACATTAGTAATGGTAAGAGACACTTGCTAAACATTGCCATATGTCAAAGTGTCAATTCACATTATTAATTGTTCAAATATCATTTTTTTTCAACAAAATTCATTCATTAGATGTCATTTAAATATTACAAAAAAATATTCTTTATTGATGAACTAATGTAGTTGCCTTTTATGTGCCATGTCCTTTCATGACATGGGTATTCATGACTCTCCACAACATCCTGTCTTTTGTAACTCTTTCCATTTACTACCGGTTTTTGTGGTCCTTGTTCTGCCATCAGTTTACTAAGTAGATTATTCACTGTTTCAATATGTTTAGTGACTGTTAAATTCTGAATCTTTTTTTTTTCTAGATTATGTCTCCCTAAAAAATTTAGCAGCTTCTTTCTGATTGTTAACAGCAATTTCTTTCTAGTTCATATTTTCTTCAAATCTTCTTTATTTCCCACATGCTCAGTCCATGGCATATTGAGCATCCTTCTGTAGAACCATAGCTTGCTTAATGTCTCCTCTTCACTTGTGAGGAAATTGCCCAACATTCAATGCCATATAGGCATAGCAGTTTAGCAATTTTTTTTAATTTCTAAAAGATCTCTTTCACTCTTCCTATACAGCATCAGTGTTATCTCTGTAGTATATGTTGTTATGGTTGTTTCTAGTGATTATCAATCCTGGTTGATTTTATAGTCTTCTTATCTTATTGTATAGGGTAAATAAAGCCAGTCAGAAAACACATCCTTGACATACTCTTCTTTCTATTTTGCACCATGAATAAATCTGTATTATAGAACACCATGATTTTTTCTGAATGTAGTTTGTTTGTTGCCAGTAGCGGTTACAGATTATCAATCAAAAATGATCAGATTATTTACATATGAAGTCACTACCACTATTTAGATCAAAGCATCTTTGCTTTGCCAAAGATTAAAGCATTCTTTCCTGGCCATCTCACAAGATCAGTGGGTATCTGTGCATTGTCCATAACTTTGTATTTGCAAGGTAATTTTACTATACTATTCAGAATCCTTACATTTTCCTTCAGAAGAGACATTCAAGTCAGACCAAGATTCACTTTTTTCTTTTTTTTTTTAATCATTTTATCCCAAGCAAGGTGATAATGCCACTAAGATGCAATGGGTTACTGGGAGTGAAAGAGAACATTATAGACCCTTCTCTGGATTTTATCAAGAATCTGAAGATATATAGCAGTGGCCCACTTAGAAAAAAATAAATATCTAAACTTGTCAAATTTCTAAACTTAGCTTCTATGTTGCTGTTTTTATTTCCAAAATTTCTCTTATTTTTCAACCCTTTTCAGGTGTCCAAAGATGTGTGGGTAGTGTAATGATCTTGAAAAATTACTGTTATTCTTTAAAAATTGTTAGTGCAATATTTAAAAAAAAACTATAGATATGTTTTTGCTATAAATTACTCACGAAGGGTTGATAGGCCATAAAAAATCTTCCTGTGTTCAATATTTATGGACAGAGAAGAGGTATCATTTTAATTGGTAATACAAATGTGCCAAAAAGTATAGCCAGCTTGAGAGTAACCAGAATTAAAACAAAAATACTACATTGTGAACTAGAGAAAAAAAATGAAAATTAAAAACTAATTTCATATCATTACAAAATCTGTTTAAAAAATAAATGCAAATTTTTTTTAAATTCAAAGAAATTTCCTATGCTGACTGTTCTTGGATTTATATTGATTTTAAAATATATATATATCTACACAGTAGAATCCCTGACAACCAGACTAAAGAAGGCCTTCCGGATATGAAGAATTGGTTACAAAGATATAAGGGGTTATATTTAGATTAAAATAAAATAAATCAGGTTTAACATTTATTTTCAGTGTTTTATAGTAAAGAAAATAAGCTAATGGTGAGTGAAATATAATGGAATTGATTTTAAGGAAAAAGAAATAAATTATGTAATATTAATGAAAATTCATTAAATTAATTCTGCCATGTATGCAAAACAAATAATGTAATAATAATTGTTGTTGTATGATGATTCTTTCTCTTCTAATGTCATTCTTAACTTTTTCTGCATTTTGTTTTGCTTTTTGTTCTTGAAATTTTTTAAACAAAAGAAACTTTTTAACTCTGTATGCATTATTGCAATTGTTGTAGCTGAATGCTTGCTTTCTTTCCATAAAACTGACAACCTTTCAATAGTTTTTTCAATTTCAGTCCAGATTTCATCACAATCATGTTTTTTATTTCCTTGTTCATTGTGATAGTGTGAATGCTGGAGAATAGTTTCTTTGGAAGATTTTATATCATACAATGTTGACTTTCCTCTTTTGAACTCAGCCATTAGTTACAATGAACTTTCACCAGTGTTTAGTCTGTTTAAAATTTCCACTTTTTGTGATAATTTCAAAGTTGTTCTTTTCCTTTTCTTCCCATCATCTTTTGCATCAATACAAACCATTAAAGTGAAATAAGCATAATCAATTATCCAAAGTAAATTTCCTAAAAAAAAGAAATTTCAAATCGGTTGCATATCACCCAAATAGTTCAACTATACACATCAAAATTATGCCCGGATATGTGGCACTGAATATGAGGGATTCTACTGTATTTAGATTTGATATTAGTTAAAAAGTATGGCTGGCTTGAGAGAAACCTGAATTTTAAATCACCGACATTCTGATGTGACATGGTGTATAGTAGAAGTACAAATGTGTAACAATAAACGGTACAAAGAAAAAATTTAATTAACCAAACAACTGTTTGGAATAATAATGACTTCTCAAAATTGCATTAGAGAATCAAAAATCTTTTTTTACCCAACTTTAGTGTAGCTTTGTCCTTCTTGTTTATCAAATATTCACATTTGAAAACGTGATTATTTTTATGTAAACAGCTATTTCTCTGTAATGTTTAGATTTAAAGTGATTCTGCAATGTCAATATTAGCAAATGGGAAAGCATCTGTACAAACTGTTTTTAAAGCTGCAAAACAAATCACTACTTCATTGTAAAAATACCTGTGTTGTTATTGAAATAGGAAGTAATTGATATATACAACTGATGTCTCTGAGGTAGAATCTATCTGAAATCTTGATCTGGATTCATTTTTACATTTGACTTGATGACCTTTGTTTTGTGGTGATTATCTTCATGGTAATACACAAGAATACAGCCCCAAGTTTATAGAGAGCTAGCAGTGAGCTGTGTGTGCTCAAATAAACTAGGTGGAGAGAAAGAAACACCACAACATGTACTATTTTAAATACATTTAATATTCAGAAAGAGAAAG